CGCATGTTGTGAAGTGCTCGCTGAATGACCAGTGCGTTGGGCAACGTGTGATGATTGGTTGTTTGCAACAGCAATTTCTCGCTGATGCATGAAGCCTGCTAACTTCTCTGCTTGCAGTCAGGCAGAACCTTCTAGACTAGGATTGTCCATGACCAAGTGCTGCAGCCAAGCCCCTAGAATGTTTGCATATAAATTGGACTTTTTTTTGTACTTTGCGCTTCTCTTCTAAGAAAACCAAAGGTCTTTTGAGTAGTTAAGGTGAAAGTGAAATTGCAGCTAGCACTAAGTCTAGGTCTGGTTAGTGTTCAAAGAGCTTAGTGCAAGCTGACCTAAGCTTGGTCCAAAACTACCTAGTCAATGCAACTTAGTATACCTACTTCCTGATTCGACACCGCTCACCCCAGCATGCCTGGGGTCCGCACGGGCATGGAAGTCAGCAACACCCAGCGCGGCGCTGCCAAACAACCAAACAACGACAGCATTGCAGTGCAGTCTGCTGTCAAAGACGAGGACGGGAATGACGACATCTTCGCAGAAAGCGACAGCGACGATGGGTACGACTACAAACCGCGACCAAAGCTACCGCAGCCCAATGTTCACATGCGAAGCTTGGGAAGTCTGATAAGTGAGTGAAAGACTGGCCGACTATGACGAGAGGATCTTCTACTGACAGCGGCCAGAGGAACTGGAGAGCGGTGCGATCGATGTCGACCCGGAATATCAACGTGAGGTTGTCTGGACAGGTAAAAACGCCCAACTTGATTGTCGCCGACATGCTAATAGCAATAGCCGATCGTATGACCGGTCTGATTAATTCTCTGATGGGTATGATCTTCTCCAGGTTCTCTTAACATGAACGAATTCAGAGATTCCTAATACTTGCGTAGAAAACTACTACATCCCACCCATTATTCTGAATAAGAAACGGATTATTGGAACAGATGGTACACCACGTGACGTTCTTGTCTGCGTGGACGGAAAGCAACGACTTTCCTCTGTCAGGGCATTCGTCAAAGGTATGATTCCTTGCCACGATCACAGGGGCGAAAAGTGGTAAGCAATTCAGCCCAATTGATATCTCTCAATGACTCACTTACAGTGCAAGGTGGTTCTGTGAGACGCCTATCAATAAACGCAAAAAGGTGCTTCCGTCGGACACTCAAAAGTCGTTCTTGGAGAAAGACTTTGTGGCCTTTCAGTTTGCAGAGCTTACGCCGGTACAAGAAGAAGACCTTTTCGCTAGGGTCCAAATGGGTGTGCAGCTCACTGTAGCTGAAAGAATGCGCGCGAGACAAGGCCCATGGCAAGAATTAGCGAAGCTTTTCGTGGAAGACTTCCCTATGATCTACAACTTGATGAAGGACCGAGCTCGAGCGAAGGACTTCCAACTCACTCTGTCTTGCTTCAGCCAAATTCTGGAAGTACAGCATCCGACTCCTGCGACTGGCATTCCAATGCTGAGGACGAGCCACAGTTTGATTCCGAAAATGCTGAACAACACCGGCGCTGTAGACGATGCGCTCAAGTCACATCTTGCAAGCGTCTGGACCACCTTCAAAGACCTTATTGCCTTAGATCCCGACACTTTCACGAATGCCGACAGGCATTTGAGCGGTGTACAAACCTTTGCGCCCATCGAAATGGTGGCCGTCACCGTCCTTATCTCTATGTATTCGGAAACGCGCAACAATGAACTGTTGCTAGGCGATATCAGAGCGCTCCGAGAAGCCTTTCGCGAGCATTTCAAGGACCTTCGATTGTCTGCGCCAATGTGGAAGTTTGCCTGGGACTTTATAGAAAACCTGGAGGGAATTCGAGGTGCGGTGGATGGCACTACGATAGACCGTAACCAACCGGCAGAGGCTACAAAGCCGACGCCGTCTACTTCAAGAACGAAAACACTATCAGTTCCTACTTCCGCCGTTTCGAGGAAAAGGGTAGCACCCCTGGACAAGCCGCTGTCCATATTGCCACCACGCGATTCGATCAACGCAAGGGAGGAGACACAACCTATTCCCACAGCACCGAAGCGACAGCGGACTGATCCCGGGCCATCAAACGCTCAAGCAGAAGTCAATAGTCCCGCATATGACATCAACGGACCATCACAGGTCGCCACTGCAAGGAATGCTCCTCCAGAGCGAGTGCGCACAGCTGCGGCACCGACAAGATCTCCCATAATGGGCAACATTTTTACAGATTTTGGTTCTCAACAGCCATCGCCTGTCAGCGCAACTTCTGCTTCGCCACGTCTATGGCGTGCAGGCGAAGCGTTACAGCTGAATCAAGCCTTGACCCGTTCGCCACAGACTGGACCAACACACACAACAACAGGACCACCACAACAAACTTTACAGAGGCCAGGAAATGAATATGGAAATCAAGTTGTACCGGGCTCTGCGCCGGCAGCGAGAGCTGCTGCAGAACAAAGCATACCACCGCGACAGTCTCGAAACGATCCTATACATACTTCGCCCTCCGATCCTAGGCCTGAACCTCCTCAAGCCGACTATCCCGACTATTATATTCCAAATTTGTCGAACGCACCTGCGCAAGCATATCACCAGTCCCGCTTACCCATGACACAACTATACGCTACTCATACACCTTTCACGCCGGAGCACACACCTCCCCAGATCCAGCAAGCCCGTGTGCCTGACTCTAGGAACCACCCTGCGCCGGTAGCGCAGATGCAGCCATCTAGCCTCTCTCATACAACTTCACGGCAAGCTCCTCAAACAAACCAAAGTTTGCAGAACGGCACACCATTGTCATCCCGACCCTCAAGCATGACCCAGGCTCATCCGACGAGTAGAGGAGCATTCGCACCCACTCATACGGATGCGCAATGGGAAGGAGTCATCGCCACTGCATCCCCACGGATGCAGTCTCGGCAGCTTGGTCAAACTCATCAAGGGGCTTCTTCAGCAGCTTCGTCACCAACAATACCGACATCAGCTTCAACTATCGCAGCGTCACAACCAAGTGGCACGAAACGGAAAAGCGTTGCCCGTCCGACACCTGCTCAGTACGATGGAGTCATTGATCTAACGAGCGACGATGAGCTTGAGGAAGAACGCCAGAACCTTCTATCTTCATTCAAGGCCAAAACAGCTCCAGCAAAGCAACCTCCAGCTACAGGTACAACCGCACCTGCATCAACGCAACGAAGGCCTATAGTGATACATGATCTCGATCTTGATGAGGATTATGCGCGTGCGAACAATCCTTATGAGAGGTTTAGAAACAATCCTAGAGCAGGGCTCTCCGGTCCGAGACGTTGAATTTAGTGTTACACTTCCTAAAGCGTGGGGCTCGCATCAGCGAAGCGCAAAAGCAATTTCAGCTATATATTGTAATTAAGCATAATGATACCCCATTTGAGAACAGTGAGCCGTCCAGCTTTAGTTCCCTCCTGCGGTAGGATTCATGCAAGTAAGCCGTAAGCGCGAATTGGCAGCGCCACTTCGACGACTTTCTTACAACCACAAATTCTGCATCGTACGTAGCATCCACCTCTAGCATCACAGAATGCACATCGCGTCCGAATTTCAATACGGGTTTCCGAAGCGTTACAGGAGACGCGTTCACATGCGATGGAAGACGTCATAGCGCGTTTCCAACCTCGGCATCCGACGACGAAACCCCGTGGACGGACCGCACCGCAAGCTAACGATGGCTTGACGGCCAACAGGATGTGCGCGGGATTGCGACAGTCTCCTGCTTGCGTCAACAACCACGACGAGAGACATACTTCGCGCCGACGTTGACGAGTACCTGCTATATCTTGCGCCATATCGCGAACAGTCTCCACTGCCTCTTACTGCGCGCACGCAGCTTTGCGACATCCACAATCCGCAACTCCAAAAGACCAGCAACATGGGAAAGTCATTCGACCCTGCTAAGGACATCGGCAGTCTGGATGGGAAGGTCATTCTAGTCACCGGTGGTGAGTGACCCCCATTCCCGAGCATGAGCGACCGTATCATGCGACTGACACATACGCAGGTAACGCCGGCTTAGGCAAACAGACCATCGCATACCTCGCTGCCCACAACCCCACGCGCATCTACCTCGCCGCTCGCACCGAATCCAAAGCCCGCGATGCCATCTCCGACATCAAGAACAGCGTGCCAAATGCGTGCGAAATCGTATTCCTCCCGCTCGACCTGACGTCTTTCTCGTCCATTGCCGACGCAGCATCGACGTTCAAGAGCCAGGAATCGCGCCTCGACATATTGATCAACAATGCTGGTATCATGGCGCCCCCATACAGTACCACTAAGGAGGGATATGAGATACAATTCGGCACGAACCACATGGGCCACGCGCTGCTCACGAAGCTCCTTATCCCGACGATGCTGGACACGGCGAAACAGCCCGGCTCAGATGTCAGGATTGTGAACCTGAGCAGTATGGGCCACCAAATGCCAGTATCAAAGGGCATTGAGTTCGACCAGCAAGCGCTCGAGAAGGAGAGTACCTGGCGTCGCTACGGCTCCTCGAAGTTGGCGAACATACTCTTCGCTCGCTCCCTGGCGCTTGAGTACCCTACGATAACATCCGTCTCCCTGCACCCCGGTGTAATTTTGACGGATCTCTTCGACAATCTCCGCACGAACATATTCATGAAGGTTGGCCTGTACATCTACGGCATCATCGGCATGATACTGCCGGGTCACTACCAAGGTCCGGAAGGAGGCGCGCTGAACACGACTTGGTGTGCTACCACCGCAAAGGACGAGCTGGAGAGTGGAGCATATTACATGCCAGTAGGCAAGAAGAGTTCTGGCAGTTCATTTGCGAGGGACGAGGGCCTGAGGAAGAAGTTGTGGGAGTATACTGAGGCGGAGTTGCAAAAGCATGGGTATTGAGATGGGAACAAGTTTGTACTAATAAAAGCGTAAGAGGAACATATATGAAGCACTGCTCCTTGCGATCATGATCTACATGACATATACAGCATCTATAACTCCAGTACCACGCTGACAATCGCCAATTCAAACAGTCTCCAACGGCACCCTAGGCAACGCCGTCAACTGCTTCCTGTCACTAATCTCCACTCTGAAGTCCTTTTGTACACTGACCTGCAAGCCATCACCGCTCGGCCGCTGTCCGCCACGCTTCTGATCGCCATCGACATGTTCCAGGCTCGTGTTACTGTACTCATCCAAGTCCCCGTAGATCTTCGTTTCCACACCCACGCTCTTGGGCTTGCTACCCGAATGCGAGTGGTTCTCAGGTCGCTCGTTCAGCTCCATCCATTGCTTTGATCCTGGACCGGCGCGGATGGAACCCCGTGGGTTTTGCTTCTTCGAGTAGCCGCCTGAAGGGTTCGAGTGGCTTCCTGACCAGGAGGAGAAGTGCGAGATGAAGTTTGTGAGTAGAGGGCGGCAGGCGGGTAGGTTGGCGACGAACATGCCGACGTTCATTTCTGCGCAGGCCCAAGCGAGGATCTCGCCGAGGTTCTGGAGGAGTCGGGTTGGGTCGTTTAGGCCGATGAGGAACTTGAGACGCACGATGGGGGCGATGGATGCGCTGTTGTATGTGTTAGTGGTCAGGGCTTCGTCTTTGGTACAGGGCTATGGGTTGGCTTACAAGATTCCCAGGCCGAGCATGGACATTACAGAGATCTTAACGCGCCAGTCGAGTTGGACGTCCCAGAGGAGGAAGATGGGGAGAGTCGCAAAGATCCAGTCTGTTGAGATGGACACCACAGCTACGGCGTATGACAGTACTGTCTGGATGTTGCGGCCATTGCATTCACCGTCCATCGTGGGATACCAGTTCTTCCTGTTTCCGGAGTTAATTATGGGTACTCTGAAAGGGGAAGGGCCTGAAGACGTACTGTACTGGCCTACATTGGAAGAAGAGATACATTCCCGTACCGCCCATGACGACGAAACATGATATCATACAGGTGTAGATGACCATCTCGATCCATTTCTTGCGGTTCGCGATGCGGATCAAGGCGAAGCCGATGCTACATTTGATCGCGACGAGAGTGAAGCACCATGGCTCCTGGAAGACGTAGAACCACTGCTCCTCGTCAGTATTTCCTCTCAAACGACTCAGAGGCGCAGGAGATCGATGGTTACATACCTTCAAGGACATGGAGTATTGAGACGCGGTCAACGAGCCATCATACTGTCCAACGCCACTCCAAGCCATACCGAGTGTGGAAACTGTGGCCACCGTCCAGACCGGCTGGGTCCATGTCAGTAAGATTCCGATTGTGGATGTGTACAAAACTTACCAAGTTGATGAGCATAGCCCAGTCATCTGGTCCCCATGCCTTCCTCTTGGTACGAATCCAAAATCGCAAGATGGTCGAAATAATGACAAACGGCAAAGGAACCAAGACCGATAGGGCCATATGGTAAGAAGTCGGTGGCGCCATGGCGGCAATCAGACTTTCGACGAGTCTACTCTGTATACACTCAAGCGCAACAGTCAAATCGCACGAAGAAGAAAGTAACAATAGAGTTCACCAATCCACACAGTGCAAGCACCGGGCATGCAAGAAAATAAGAAACCGCAACGAAAGGCTGGTAAAAAGGAGCGCCACGATCCCAACAGTATGGCACTCGTCCACGAGCTTTCTTTCCCATCCCAGCTCGATCCGTAGGCCACAAAAGCTCTCGGCGCCAACCATCTAGGGTTCGCCCGGATGAAGCCGTACGAGTTTAGGATTAACAACGGTAACGGGGAGGCGAAGCGGCACAGGCTTGCTAGGGCCGGCACTGTTACCCGTCTGCAGTAGTTCCCGGTTCGTTATATGTCCGATGCTCTTGGAAGCTGTTGATGCGCGGGACGACGACCCTTGGGAAGGATCGCATTTTCTGGCAAAGTTAATGTCCGCTTCAGAAGGCCTGTTCGCTCAAACGCTGTTGGCATTAGCCTACCTAGGTGGCTATCGTGTTTACTATTCTGTCTTTCGGTATAGTTGCAGAGATGGCAGACAGTCTTACGTATCACCTTCACATGCGCCGATGTATCTCCAAGCTCGAGTCCAGACTCTCGGTCTTGTGCAAAGCGGTGGAGTAGTATAACCTGCTACGTCTGCGCGCGAATCCTGTTTCAAGACCTTCTTCTGCACAAGGATTGGTACATCGCCGCGTACTGTGCGTGCGGGGGCGTGGAGCATGCAGGAGTGTCGTATTGAATCCATACACTCGGATCTCGACCAGAGATGAGATAGTCCCAAAGTACCTAGATATCAACCCAGAACTTGGAAATGTGGTATAAGGAGAGAAAGGGGGATATCAACTATATGTGTGCCAGTTATGACTATCCTCATAACATGGCGTGAGGAATACGGTCTGTCAATGCTCGGTGTATGCGTCGGCACAAGATGGAGCTACTTCGGAGGATTTATATCGAGACCCACACCACGAAATAACGGTCTCCACCGCTAGACATTCCTCGACGGATCCTGGGTGTTTTACATAGTCAAGGGTTCCCCGCGACGCCTCTGCCGTGCAAGCGGTGGGCGTTGTCACGACTACTTCCATAGATACATGTACAGGTCTCTTACCCAGGTTTCAACATACCTCAGCACGTAGCAATTTCCAAAATGTCAGCACCCAGAGTCTTTGAAGGCAAACTTGCCATTATTACCGGTTCTTCGCGAAGTATGTTCTGCCACCAGCTCATGGTCCTCGACCATGGCGATGTAACGACGTTCCACTTGATTAGTAACTGACGTGCAACTAGGCTTCGGCGCCACACTTGCCACCTACTTCGCCTCGCGCGGAGCTAATGTTGTGATCAACTACGCAACATCGGCGTCCGATAAAATCGCGACTGACTTAGCAAACCATCTCTCCACGACCTACAAGATCAACGCGCTCCCCGTACGCGCCGATCTTCTTGACCCTTCCGCCCCGCAAACCATTGTCAATGCGGCAAAGGCGCACTTCAGCAACCCAGCGGCCACCCCTTCGTTCCAGATCGACATCCTGATCAACAATGCCGCTGTCGTGAATGCGCAGCCCATCCAGGAGCTCGATCCAGAACTCTGGGACCAGACGTTTAACATCAACTGCAAAGCTCCTGCGTTGCTTATCAAAGCCGCGTTTCCCTACCTTCCTCACGATAGGTCTGGTAGGATCGTCAACATCTCATCTGCGACTACGACGTGGGGTCTGATCCAACAAACATCCTATGCTGGCACCAAAGGAGCCATCGAGGCCATGACGCGTGTGTGGGCGCGCGAACTTGCTGAGCGCGCTACTGTCAACAGCGTGAGCCCTGGTCCCATGGACACGGGTCTCTTGAACGGATTGCCTGAGGCGCCGAGAGAGGCGCTGAAGATGTACAACGCGTTGATCCCGTTGGCGAAGGAGAGACCTGGTGTTGACAGCGAAGACATGTTGAGATTGGCAGGCGAGATTGGTGGTAGGCCCGGTACGCTCGAGGAGGTGGCAGGTATCGTTGGTATCGCGTGCTTGCCAGAGAGTGGCTGGATGACGGGTAATCAGCTGGGCGCGAGTGGAGGCGGCGCTTTTGTTAGGTAGAGCTTCGCTGTCATGTCTGCATGGCTGCTGGCAGCAATCAAATTACATATGAGCCCTTTTAATTTTCGACCTCGAGTGTGGTCATGGTTGTGCCTTTGTCGAATGAGAGAAGCCGGAATCCGATGACGACTTCGGGCAGGTGTGTCACATGATGCCAAGACCCCATCAGCCCTTCGAGATCATCGCAAGCTCCTCTTCACGACGCGTCGATTTAGCTAACGATCTGCCACACACAAGTCTATGGTTCGTATTTCATACTGGACTAAGTATGATGTTTTCGAAATACGCGTTCTAAGAGCGGGATACCTATCATGAGCGCGCTCGTCGCTTCCTACCAGAAATTGAAATTTGCCGCATCCCCTGCAGATTGGCGCCACGTCCTGCAATCCCAGATCTTGGCTTGCATTCTGCGTGCATGCGGCGCAGCAAACTGGACATAGAGAAAATTGTTGCTAATGCTTGTGCGGTCACGAAACGCACAGTAAAGGATCGGTCTGGCATGAGAAGCGGCTGAAAAGGTTCGTTCGCAAAGCATTACGAACGTTGGAACCTCGTGTTTGTATATTGCTCTCCCGCAACGTCAACCGACGGGACATTCCCTGCACCCGACTACCCGCAGGCGCTATTTTCCTCGAATAGTTCGCGAGAAAACGCCACCAAAGCACTAGGCTCGCCGCTGAGAGTGGTCGTTCATTGCTGCTTGGCTGATCCTTCGTAGTCGCTAACGGCTAAAACGCGGATTACCTGCATGGAAGTAGCCTCCATGGCGAGAGCTGCATTCAACATGTTGAACTACAGATAGTGGGAATAGCACGGCACGCATGTATAAGTACATACAATTAGAATATATCCACTACTACCCATTTCTGTTCCTCTCCCGTCAACATGAAGGTCTCAACCTTGGCAACGGCAATATTGTATGGCGGCGTCGGTGCCAGCCTTGTAAAGAACGACGCATTGGCTGTTGAAGCACTCGCGAAGCTTACGTCTAACGTGGCTCAAAATGGCTACCCAGACGCAGAAAAATGCACGTTGGACAATGTTGCCGTCCGACGAGAATGGCAAGTAGAAGGCACACGCGTTTCGCGGTAACTCGACTCACACAAATTCAGGTCCACTTTATCGGAAGATCAGAAACTCAACTATATCGATGCAGTCAAATGCCTCGGCAACAAGCCAGCGAAAACCCCAGCGGCCATAGCCTCGGGCGCAAAGAGCCGATTTGACGACTTCATCGTCACGCACATTCTACAAACAATGGGCATTCATGGCACGGTACGCTGAGAATGCATAACCAGCTGAGGTCGACTAACGTAGACCAGGGGAACTTCCTGAGTTGGCATCGCTACTATATCTGGGTTTACGAACAAGCTCTTCGCAACGAGTGTAGCTACAAAGGCTATCTCCCATACAACAACTGGTCCAAGTGGGCAGAAGACCCGCTCTCATCACCTCTCTTCGACAGCAGCAAGACCAGTATTTCCGGTGACGGCGAATATGTGGCTGGAAGGGGGTCATGGTGCATCCCAAACGAAGCGCGCTGCATGGTCACTTTCCATTCAGCGAACGGCGGAGGCTGCATCAAATCTGGGCCATTCAAAGAGTACGTTGATCGAATCTGAGCTAGATCGACAATTAGCTGATCGAAACAGCTGGAAGATCAATTTAGGTCCGATCCAAACCACAGTGAAAGACGCCCCACCGAACCCGCAAGCCGATGGCCTTGGCTACAATCCTCGCTGCCTAAGTCGCGATATCAGCACACAAGCGTCGAACGAGACACGAGATGAGATGGTCGTAGACCTGATCAAGAACTATCCCGATATTCTCAGCTTCCAGAACAAGATGCAGAACTTCACTCAAGGGGTTATGGGCGTTCACAATGGAGGACATTACACAATTGGTGGTGACTCTGGAATGGATATGTATGCTACACGCCGCCTCACCATCGCTAGCATAAGACATGTACTGACTGAGGCGCAGGTTCAACTCTCCAGCAGACCCGGCCTTCTACTTCCACCACGGCATGATCGATCGCGTTTGGTGGACATGGCAGAACCTCGATTTGAAAAGCCGGCAGGACAGCATCGCGGGTACTATGACCTTTCTGAACAACCCACCGAGCCGTAATGCCACTCTTGATGACGTGCTCAGCGTGGGGTATGTCGGATCGCCGAACATCACCATCAAAGACGCTATGAGCACGATCGCAGGGCCTTTCTGCTACGTGTATGCTTAGTTCAGATGATCAATAGTATTGAAGAGTAAGTTCATAGGCTCCAAATTCTTGTACGGGTCCAGGGATGCTACATCACACCCCTTTCCCTTTACCATTGATGCAAGAAAGTGATGTATTCCGCAGCACCATCGTCCAGCCCACACAACTCGTTGAAATTCCCAGCTTCCTCGCCCCTCTTTTTGGTTCTCTCGGCGAAATCTGCCAGTGGACAACTCTTCCCGGGGCCACTATCGCAGCCCGGTATAGCGGTAATGCCGTCGTTAATGTTGAGTCTGACGAACTTCTGAGGTAATGATTCGCGTTTGGTCTTGCAGGATAGTAGCTCGAAAATAATACGGCCGCCCATCGGCGACACCTGAGACTTCCGCCACTTGCGGTCATGGGCGATGTGAGTGATGGGAAGATGTTCACGGTCATTGATGACATCGAGCGCAGTCATGAGCGGCGCTATGTCACCGTCATGAACACTAATCTTGAATCAGTTTTGCTCGCTCCAATGGTTTGTAGCCTGCATGGTTCGAAGAAAGACTCACAAGCTGAAGAACAATGGGCCAGCGCTTGGGCCCTCAAGTAGCAGGTTCGTCGTAGCATTAAGCCACAGCCACCCCATACTTGTGGCGTACTTCTGACCTGGGCCTGCGC